CGCTGCCTCAGCCGTTTCCCAGTCAGCCCTCTCTCCATATCCCGTCGGTGAAGCTTCTGCCTTTGTCTGCCGCTGCCCGCTCCGGGGTGGTCTTCTCAGCCCTTTAAACGCTGACTGAAGGGAGTATTTCACCTCTGAAATTATGCTCTCTTTGCTGACTCATATGCTTGTCCTGTTACTTTCTGGGAACTCGAGGGATGCTGGTTACATAAGGCTCTGTTTTAATTGGAACAATTAAGAAACATTTGGCCTGTTAAGCCCTTATCAGTCAATGTCACAAAATCTCATTTGTGGTGATGTCACTGTGTTCACAGGTAAGGCAAACTGCCCTTACTATGCCAAAGCTGAACAACTGGCTGACTATCTCCAGGCTAACTTGCCAGACTTCAGAGTTCACAAGATCGTTCAGCACCCTGACAAATGGGAGGTAAGGGGTCATAAGTCAAGTCATTGGTAGATGCCCCAGTGCTCTATAAAGTAACAAATGTGCTTATCTGTAGTATGTCTCCTCTTCTCCTGTATTAGCATTTTGGTATGTGGGTAGAGGTGCTGCAGAAGCACGTTTGGCTACAAGAGCCAGCCAGAGGAAAGGTTTGAATGTTGTGAGAGACTGGCATTCTCGTGAGTCTTACCACAGAAGATGGGCATAAAATGTGGGCCAGCCTAAAGCTCTGTTTTATCAGTTAGAAGTTCAAGTTTATTATTTTTACAGTGTGTATAAATGACTGCTCGGCCTGTAACTCTTTTGTACACTGTGATTACATATGCCTTCAGAGTTGTTACTTGTCAAGAGCATTTCTGGCATTCAAGGGCTTTGAATTACAATGGAAGTATGCAATTAAATCTCACGTATTTGTTTACAATGTGGATGGGCCTTTCTGAGTAGTTTTACTGTAGATATGTTGCCATGTCTACACTGTAGTCCCTATAAGGAACTGAAAAAACTGCAGCATTACTTCATGAGATAGACAGTACTATGATGTTTATTGCCTCATATTTCGCTTGACACCTCAGCCAAGTAACTCGAACAGTTAAGTGAATAGCATTTAACTTCTGCAGCTTACTTACCTTCTGCAGCTAAATAGGAATCATCAGATTACTTGCTGCTTCACAACATTGCTATCTTCAGTTCCACTGAGACAATTGAGCAGAATTACAGCAGTAAAATCAAGCAGAAGTAAGACCTTTTTCTCTTTTGCTGAGGTGTCACGGAGTATCACCATGACTTGCTTTGAGTTATTCCCCCATTTTGCACACACTGGTGCATGGGTAAGTTGTGAAGCACCTTGTAATCATGTATTGAGAGAAAATAATAAGAATGTTTATAGCTGTAACATTTAAGTGTTATCAAATGGGAAAAAGTATTAAAACCTTTTGGTGTGGATCTTTACATTAGCAGTGGCTTCATGACATTTGTGAAATGAATGGATGGGAACACAAAAGGTCTCCTATCATTTGGAGAGAACTGTTGGACCGTGGAGGGAAGGGTCTGCTTGTGGGAGGAGTTAATGATTTTCTGGAATATGCCCAGGTAATGAGCTGCCTTTAATACTGTGAACCATACTTTGCATTTTCTTGTAACATTGTTGTTCTTTATTCCTCCTTCTAATGTAAAATAAAGCTATCCTTTCTAATGTTACCTTGCTGTGTTTGGGTTGTCATTTGATTAGAGATTATCCTTTTTGTTATTAGCACTATTACGGCATCACCTCAATGATGTTGAGTGAGGAAATGTTAGACATTGCTGAGGAGAACCTGCAGGCGCATATTGAAATTGAAAAAGAGGAGGAAGAGATTAAAAGTCTTATCAAGCCTTTGCAGATCTGGATCACCAGGTGAGAGTAAAAAGAATATTTATGAAGTTTCACTTAGCTTCAGAAGAATGCACTTTTTCCTGTCACGTATAACAGGTGTAACCATCTGAAGTTATACACAAATCCCTGTAATTTGCTGATTTGAATTAGGTTCTGTGCCTCTCACTATGAGCATGCAGTGTGTAATTTAGAAATTATTTCTACTTTTGTTACATTTTGCACCAGTTTAAATGAGGGATGTGAACAGGCAACATTTAGACCCCTGATCACCTTGGGGAAAAGCAAGTATTTACAAAATAAGCAACTGTCTTGCATTAAATGTTTTTGGAAATATTTAAATAAGTAAAGAGTCTCTTGCAGTTTTAGCTTTAGAAATTGCTGTATTTCTAGTAGTCGTAACAGAGCACCTTAAAAAAATGTGGTTCTTTAAAGACACCAATTTTTAAGTGACAGTGTCAACTGAAATGTACAGGGTGGAAAACTTTCAAATGAAAGGAGGACCCAAATGTTTTAATTTTTAACCTATTAAAATGACAGAAAGAACAATAAAGGATCCAAGCTAATGGTCTATTTAGACATAATCAAATACGGAAGCAAAATCTTTGTGTTTATTTATGTAATACTTCCAAACAAGCAGTGGTTAGCCATTAACTGTAATTTTTCTATATCCTTCTCTTATCAGTGCTTCAGCTCCAATGTGTTATCAGCTGATCCCTCTGTTGGCAAATGGAGAAGTGTTTGGGATGACCACAGAAATCAGTATCCATTTGCTTGACACTGACCAGTTTAAGGAAGTTCTTTGCGGTATTATAATGGAAGCTGAAGACATGGCGTTCCCACTCCTCCGCAGTATTTCCAAGCACACTGAAATAGATGAGGCTTTTATTCAAGCCGATATTGTCATTGTTCTTGATGATGTCCTCTTAAACCATGAAGTCCAGTCCCTTGAGAACTACATCAGAGAAGTGAGTGAGATCTGTCAAGTGTATGCTCCCTTGATTGAGAAGAATGCCAAGAGTGAGGTCAGAGTAATTTCATCAGGAAAAACCTTTGTAAACCTTAAGGCGTTGATGATTATGACATATGGCCCATCCATTAAGCCTGAAAATGTCATCGCCATTGCAACATCCTGGGAAAGTGCAGCTAAAGCCATGCTGGCCAGGAAGCTGAATATGAACGCAGCAGGTGAATATTTATGTGTTTTGGTAGCATTTGGGGAATTCAGTGGATGGACACCTTTGAAAGTACGTATTTCATTGCAGAATGCAATTGATGTGCGTGCAGAAATGCAAGCAGAGCAGTGCACCCACTGAATTGCATGGCTGTACAGAATGCCAGGGTGTGACTAGCAGGTGCTACCACTTGCTATGCTTACCGCTGTCTGGATCTGTGCCTGATTCCATGAATATCAATTCTTTTGCTAACTCTTGAAAGCAGCTCTGCCATTCTGGTGTGTATTTCATGCTGGAAATCTACTAAGAAGGACTGAGCTGTGTTGCGGATCAGGAACTAGGACTTCAAGATTGCATTTGCACTCTGCAGTGCATTGTTATTTTGGAGACACACCAACCAGCTGTGAATAAACATGGCAACATACTGCTGTGCAGATAATGAGAGTATAGTAGAACTGCATTGTAGTATTATTTCTGGGTTAATTAACTTTCTTTCTCAGGTCAATCATTATAGCTTGGTTATATTTGCACGGTTCTGCATTGCATAGCAAAGGTGTCCTCCAGCAGCCTGCTCAGCATGAGGATTCTTTCAATGTTGCAGGGGTAGGAACTCATCATCAATGACAAGTCTAGATATTTTGGAGCCTAATAAAATAGAAAAGTAGGTTAATAGGCTGAATAGCCTGTCAGCAGGTTATTTGAGAAATTCCTTTTGCACCAAAGCAGGTAGATTTGGGGGGGTTTTTGGGTGGTGTTATGATTTTTTTTAATGTTAGGCATTCTGTATTTGCATGTACAGGGTTTTAAAAGGAACATTGCTATATGTTTGCAATATGATTTGGTTTGGTTTTAACAGCTAAGTATTTACTAGGTTTTGTCTACTATGTACAATAACATGATATAAATTAAAGTTCCTTTTTCAGCTTGTGATGAGGTTTCATATGGAGGACGTTGTTGCATTGTTCAGATCAAATAATTTCTGTTATCAAGGCAAGGCACTGAACTGAAGAATAATTCATCTTGAAATGGACTTCTAAAGGTGTTCTAGTCCAGCCTACATTGTGAAAGTGTTTGTCTGCCTCTTCATTAATCTATGTATTTTCCTCTGTTACAGGAGTTAAAGATGTGATCGTTTGGGGCAATATTACTGGCTGTAACTACATTGATTTGTCACATGCAAAACTTTATGGATATGACTGTGCTATTTGGGGCCCAGCTAATTTTCCACATCCTTTGTTGAATATGATTTATGATAGGTACAGTACGAATTTATTTTTTTAAAGTAAAACTGAATAACTGCTTTTAATCCATGTTTATCTGAACTGTGTAATAAACAAGAGAAAGGTTTTTGTTTTCAAGATTTCTCTTTACTGACTAGCACTGTACATAACAGAAAACTCAAGTTGAAGCACTCAGTCTGCAAAAGAAGTTGAGTAGTTCCTAGTGCTATACAGTTCTGACTCTCCTGCCAACTTTGTTTATAACTATATTTTTCTACATATTAAGTGTGTTTTTCTTCTATCATATCATGAGCAGCCTATAGGAAGTAATGAAAGTCCAGATAGTGACTTAGATGTCTAATATGCATGAAGAAACTTTGCAATAATACAAAACATATATCTACATCTTGAAGTACCTGAATTCCATTGAACATATGGCCTGAGCACACTAATGTCAGTTTCCCAAAATAAACAATGTGTTAACATATGTAAAAAGGATACCTGGCAGCTAGGTAGCTTCTCGTGGAAAGAAAAGTAGCAGAGAAAGGATGTGCACAGTGAGAGGACAGCAGATGTGACATACACTCAGGCCTGGCTATGTGGAATTCCCACTCTGGTCTAAACCTAGCGTTTACTGGACAGCAGACATTTCTTTTGTTCTCTGCTTGTGTCTAGCACAGAGGGATTATGGCTCATGGCTGGATTCTTATGTAAGACAGTAATACATATAAACAATAATAATAATAAAGGTTGTGACTTGAGTAAATGACCTAACTTTCATAGGTAAGTAGTGCTGGTTCTTACCTTTTGGACCACTTTTTGTTAGACCCTATATTTTTCTGTCTTTAAGTGCCTTGCATTCAGCAGTGGAGTTTGAACAAGTTTTGACTATTTTCTTCCCTCAGGTTTAGTTCTTTTTTCCTCTAGAAAACTACTCTTCCTGCAGTTATCTTAGGTTTTTCTTCCTTTCCCTCCCCCCTTTTTTTGTTGGTAGCAAATGGATCCATTCAGAATTTCTATCTGCACAACTGAATTCCCGGGTCTGTAATTGTGTAGGAATGTTACCTGCTCATGCGATAGCCACTGTACTGAGATACTGGTATCATGGCTCTCCTCCTGGGGAGATTGTTTCTGTGGGAATACTTACTAAAGGTAAATCTACTTTTGCTTGACATATTCTCTTGCAGCTTTCCCCAGTATGCATAATGTTTTTTTAATCAAAATTTTTAATTTAATAAAAACTTGTAAAACAAATTATTATACAATGCGAGGCTGAGAGTTTGTTTCAGCATAAGAACCTCCAAATCTAAGCAATTTTATTCTCCAGAGCTTGTGATTTGATACTCATTTCTTACAAGCATCTCTTACGTTAATTCAATACTTAAATGGGGCTTTTAAGAAAGATGGGGACAAACTTTTTAGTAGGGCCTGTTGTGATAGGAAAAGGGGTAATGGTTTTAAACTAAAACAAGGTAGATTTAGACTAGATAAAAGGAAGAAAATTTTTACAGTGGGGGTGGTGAATCACTGGAACAGGTTACCCAGAGAAGTGGTAGAAGCCCTGTCCCTGGAAACATTCAAGATCAGGTTGGATGGGGCTTTGAGCAACCTGATCTAGTGGAAGATGTCCCTGCTCACTGCAGGGGGGTTGGACTAGATGGCCTTTAAAGGTCCCTTCCAACCCAAACCATTCTATAATTCCATGATTCATGTACATCTAACTAAAATATAAAGTTACAGTAAAAGGGAAACTCTTTAGTCTTTGAATGGTACACTGTAAAAGATAGTCTCCATTTATACTAAGATCTTACAGTTGCAGACTTTTGCAAGTCTGTAGGACTTAATCTTGACACTGGTGAGGATGTGTTTTTTAATCAGAAATAATATGTTTAGGTCATTTTTTCCATCTTCTTCAGGTCAATTTTGCATTCCTGAAGGAATTGTCTTCTCTATGCCAGTGAGGTTCCAGAATGGTAACTGGGAAGTCATGACAGAATTAGAAATTAATGAAATGACCCAAGAAGTTCTGGGACGCTTAGCCCATGAGCTGATTCAGGTGATGATTTATTGTATCCAATAGTATGCCCATTCTGCCACCTATGGGTACATTGCAATATAACTTTGAATACCGAGACTTACTGCAAATGTTAAACATACAGACTGCACACACATGATAAATACCAGGTATTTATAAGTGTAAAGTTGCACCCCCAAGTTCTGCAGGTTTTATGCAAAACAGAAATATTAGCTTTAATTTAGTGTTTCTACATTCTGTGCTTCTGATGTTGATTTTGCTTGTGTGGTATTCAGAGTAGTTCTATGCCAGGAGATGTATCTTCTGGGATCCTTATGGCTATGACTCTGCATGAATGAAGGCCATATTTTACTAGAATTAGGGATTTTTCAGAAAATACAAAATCAGTGAGCAGTAATTTCATCATGAACTTCTTGTCACTTAGTGAGACAAAAAGAATTTGATTTGACTAAATATTAAAATGCTAAAAAGACTAGTCCCAAACTCTACATTCTAGCTTCAGTCAGATTTTATGATCTTCAGTCATACTAGTAACATGTAAGGATTATTTTATCTTAACATATTTTAAGTTTGCACTAGAAATTACAGTGGATGAAAAGAATGGGTGATATTAAAACTGCTGCTTTTTTTTTTTCCCATTCAGGAAAAGCTTGTTGCACTAAAGGAAATAAAAGAACTGCATACATATGGAGCTGATAAAATCTCTAGTAAAAAATATTTGTGTCAAGGTGGGTTTTTCTTCCCCGAAAAGATAAGATCAAGTTTTAAGTAATGGATTCTTATTTTATGTCCCTTTTGTTTAAAATGGGTATAGAATCCTTCAGGAAGGAATATAAACAACAAGTGCTTGTCCGATGTATCTTGACCATGCCTGGGGTGTGGTAATAGGCAGGGCAAGACTGCATGGTAGCAACCTTGTTTTGATAAGTTTCTACTGTGCCATTCACATATCATGAATATGAAAGCTGAGCGTAAATAATACATTTAGCATGACACATTTTATCTTAGGTTATTAGTAAATATAAAATGTTTTTGACACAAGTAACTATTCTTAGAAAAGCACTTTCACCGTATGTCCTACTATATGTTTTGAAGCTATTCTTTACTATACTTTACTATTCTTTACTATTTAGAAATAATGAGTTGAATTTCTAACAGAGAAAAAAATACTGTAAATTGGAACTCAAACTTCTAATTTTTCTGTTTGTTAAAGTACCAAACAGTTCATTCAGTATCTTTAGTCTGTAAGCCAGTCAGAAGGAGAAAAGGTTGAGACACCTGAAGACAATAGGCTAAAAAAAGAGATATTCCTGCTTTCTATAGAGAAGACAATCTCGTTAAGTGGCAGCCTCATCTGCCACTTCTTCCAATTACAATAGATGAAAGATTTTCTAGAGATCCCTACATTATAAATTATTAAGCCGTTTCACTTTCTTTGTTAATAACACATCAAGTTTATCGTGACTTAATTTTTTTAAATGCACAATGATATGAGAACTTTCAACTAAACATCTCTAGAACGGTATCGGTTCCTAATATTTAGGAGCATGTGGGAAGGCTATAGGCTACATGATACAGCCATGGCAAAACTCCCCTGAATCTGCAATCTACTTTTCCTGTGCGGAATAAAAACCCCACATCTTCTTCCAAGTCTTTCTGTGCTGCTTTTTCTACCTATTTTGCTTTTGAAGTTCTCTGTCCTCTTAAGATTACATAAAGGAAAGAAGAACCATTCATCAAAATAAGAACAGATAAACTTTAAAGTGTGTTTTATTTTTGTCACTTTTTCCCTGTTCTCAGGTTCTGAAATCCCCACACTTTCCCAATGCTGTAGCCATTTCTTTCTACTTCCAGGTCCTACAGGCCTTTTCCCTAGTTAGTTTTCTTTCTCCCTTCTTTCAAATTCTTTCCAGTACTTTGATATCAGCACTTACCATATATAAGCTGTTCTGCATTAAGGGCAGGCTGAAGAATGGGGAAACTATTTGGAGCTTGATGTTCAGGGCCTTTAGTGAGCACTTGTATGGCACTGCTATTCTGTAGAGCTGTTCCATTCCTCTTGTGGCTGCTTTAAACACTAAGCAGAAGGCCCTTCCGCTACTAGCAGCTAACTGCTTAGTTGTGGCATACTCTTATGACATTAGTACCAGGTGCCATACCATTCAAGTATTACCGAAGTGCTCTGCTTATGTCCTTGCACGTGTAAGTATTTTAGGAGGTTGGAAAAATATGTACTGTTTTTGCTTTTTTTACAGAAATGGACACCTTGCCTACTGGCTCACTTTAGCCAGAGTTGTCTGGAGGAGAAAATGCTGAAAATTCCCATACTAAACAATGTTTCCATTGCTCAAAAGAGCACACTACAAAGAAAGGCTAAACATTGTCATAGCTTTTACAGTGTCTTCCTCATCAAAAACCTGGAAGTCTATAGGCAGAGAAATATTTCAAAAACAGTGTGAATATAACAGTCTTAATCTGGAGACCAAAGCAAAATTCCTACTGACTTTAATGAGTCTAGGATTTCATTTACATCCAACAATAAACTGTTTCAAAAACATCTTTTAATGTCTAAAACATTCATGTTATGACAATTTTGAGCAAGATTTTCACACACAGAGTAGCAGTTTTATAACTCCAAATTCTTGTTTCAGATATAATGAAACACAGTACTTGTGTAAGAATATAAATTCTTAGGCAAAATTTGTTTTTAACACAAAAATTTAAATGCATACATCTCCTTAGTGACAAGATCATTTTTGTCTCCATGTTTTTATTTATTTCATGAGTTTCATAGGGAAGACTCATACGTTTTGAAGTGAAACATGCAATTAAGTCGTTGTCTAAACAGGATTATTCAGGAACCACTTTCACTTGCGTGTCTTTGGTGTCTTAAAAGATGGGAGACTGTTAAATGAAATATTGTTGTACTTGCTAATTTTTTACAAGATGTGAATATTTAAAGCAAAATAAACAGTTTCCTGTTCTTTGAATCTGATACATATAGTTAGAATAAATTCGTTATTTCTGTCCAAGTGGAGGTTCAAACTCTGAACAGGGCTAGACTTCTTCTTACATGAGGAAACCAGGAGGATTTTATTTGTGATTTATCAGCTGATGTGGACAGAACGAGGAGGAGTGTCTCACTGGTCTTAGAAAGAGGAGCTGAGAAAGCTGAGGTATCATAAGGGAGTTGGAAGCGTGTAGTTTCTTATGTGAAATGTATACGTTAGAAGCAATATTTACATGAACTGAGATATTGTTACAAGTATCTTCAAGGAGGAGTTCACATGAAAGTTGTACATAGGTGGTCTAAAAAGTCTTGGAGAAAGTGGTTTGGAATCATCCATTTCATGAGGAAGTGGTCTCCAGGGAATTAGTTGCTAGTAGTGTATGCACAGAAAATTATCTGAGTCTCTGAGGAGCATTTGGAGGCAGATGTCTCAGGAGAGCATAGCAGGGGAGGATGCTACCAGTAGTCTTTACAAACTACCTGGTTTGTTTCATAGCTCCTTCTCCAAGACAGGAGAGGAAAAGTTAGCTTCTTTAACATATATTTACATTTGTTTTTTTCTACATGGAATATGATTAGGCAGTCTTTTACTCTTTGAGTTCTTTTATTCCACCTGTGAAGATACTAGTTCAAACAGACTGCAATTCAAGCACCAACGCTGTTATTAAGAAAGTAAGTAACTGTTTCTGCAATGTATAAGCAGCCTTACTGGACTTCTGAGTCACTACCTGAAAATCACAGGCAAAGAATTTCTTCTCAGAGGTTGGGAGGAGAAAGACAATACAAATATCTTGGATGTCTCTTGTATTCTAAATTATTCTAATTAGATTTGCCTGGTGGCCTGCAGGGAAATTCAGGTCTTTCCTCACACAAGCATAATAGCATGGAAAAGTTTCTTTTCCTAGCTTTTTCTTAGAAGAGAAAGAAAGAACAAAAATAATAGGAAAGCTAAAATATGGTAACATATTCAAAGTTGGTTGCAGTTGTAACATAGTGATTGACTTAGTCATCACTAAGTTTGGGTTTTCTGTAAGTAATAAGTAATTTCTGGTACACATTTTCTCACAAGTTACTGGGTAATGCAATGTATGCAGGATATTCATAGCATTGATGAATCCTACTACCTGGGTGTTAGAGTAACTGTTGAAAAATTTGTGAAAAAGGGCTTTAAGATAAATGTACATGTCTTACAAATGTTATATATATTCTGCATAAACCCTAGCATCTGAGTGTATTGAGGAGTGTGTAAGCTTTCTGGTTGGTCTGAACAATTCTTATTCTAGGACATTACCACTAGGACTTACTATTTTTCCTCTTTGTGTAGTTGCACCAACTGTTTGTTACAGCACACTGTGCTTTCTGCATTATTGTGCCAGCTTCCACCTCATTTTCAGTCTCTATAGCAACACTGTTCCTCAGCAACTGGGAAATGCTCAGTAAAGGCCCCTCAGTTTAGAAATATTGCACTCCAACCACAAGAAAAATTGCTTTGAAACAAAGATCAATGAAGTTTTATCTTTAATAATTCAAGATATTTATTACTAATTAATTAGTGTTCTCTGTTTTGACTGCTTAGACAATTACCTGATACTTTGATCTGGGCCTTTGCCAGGCATTTGTTGTGAACAGCATTCATTTAAAAGCAAAAGCTTTAGAACTGTGTCTTGAAGTCAACTTTTAAGTGGTATAAGACTACTGGACTTCTCTGGCAGTGTCCTCTGACTTCTGGGCCTTTAGTAAGTAGCTGAGAGAAAGGTAAGCACGGTTACTGTATTTAAGAGGAGACAATAATTTTGGCCTTTGAACACAGCATAAAATGCTTTCACCCTTCACAAGAAACAAAAGCAATTGTAGTTTGTTTTATGCATATTTAAAATGCTGATCATGTTGTCTGATTTCAAAAGAAGGAATGCCTCTGTGATCAAGTTGATGTATTGGGAGATTTCTGCCTTACGTGATCTCGTTTATCTTTCTCTATAATTTAATTTAATTATGTAGTATGTTTCAAAATGCATTTTATTTGCTAAAGTACATATTCTGAGAACCTGTATAGGCAAACAAAATACATATAAGTAATCAAGTATGTTACTTTTCTTGCACATTCCCATAGGATTCAAGAATAAGGCTACTCTTGTTCTGCACATAAGAGTATTTGTGTTAATGGGATCGGGGTTTATAATTGTAAAAATTTATTTCCTCTACAATTGTAATTAATTTTAAGATGCTTTTTTGTTTTATGGAAGTGTTTTTGATTATTAATAAAGGGCACATGTAGCTAAAGTACAACACACAGACTGAAATGAGCAGAGTTAGTTCAGATTTGATGGCAGGCAAATACTGCTTCTGCTTTTGTATTATGTTCATTATAAAGTAGATGTGCTAACACTGAAGTAGATCCTGTTCATTTCACCCAAGCAGTCCTACTGCAGTCAAGATCTGGACTCTCCACAGAGTTTTGTATATAAAAATGTAGACTGCACATATGTTAATAATGCCTTTCATAACTTTTTGGAGGGAGGGTTCATGGGTATCATGTTACGATGTTGCACAATGACAGCAAGTTCCGTAAAACACATAACACATGTACTTAACTTTGAGACCATGAATACCCTAGTATACGAGTATAGCGTGTTTATCCATATGGGTAATTTAGACATTGTGCTGTACTGGATAGAGAGTTTCTCATCTTACGGTAAGTATCGAGTACTAATAGATTATGCATGCTGTATAACTCAGTGAGGTCAATGGATCTGTTCTTATTT